TCTGAATACACATGAAAATACTTTGCTATGATCTTTTGCTAAAGAGAATGATGTTTCAATGGGATTAACTATCAGTTAATATTGCCCTGGTCTCATCCTGTTCCAAAAAAGATAAAACTTCATTTATAATTTCCTAAATTTTAAATATAATGCCTACGTGCATACAATTACTTTATTTATCCTGAATGCATATTGGTTATGTGCCTAATAAGGTCACTGTGAGAGAATAGACAGGCCCAAGAAACAAAACTATAAATTATTCATTTATTTAACTTGAGTGCATTTGAAATATTTAATAGATAACTTTTCTTTTGATGTAAAATGCAAACATTTGGGACTCACTGAGTTACTTTTTAGTACTTATATAAAATTGCATTTCAAAACTAGTTTTCATTCTGCCCTCATAGATTTTATCATATAGATAAAAATCAGAATTTGGCCAAATTACTCTCCTGGCATAAGAGAGGTCTATTTAGAATTTCTAAGTAGCCCTTTTCTTAACTGGAAAATATACATAATTCCAGTTATTAGAACTTTGCTGCTAGGATGAATTTTTTTCAAACTGGTATTTATTATAAAAAATGATTTATGATATGTGCTCAGTTCATATGAATGTAGGGAGAACTGCAGGAGGTACTGCATTGTGAAGTTCTACAAAGAGCCTTCTTTCTCTCATTGACTTCCACTGCTGGTTGCTATGGCATCTAGTGACGACCATAAATTTTGGAAATTATCACCAACTGCCCACACCCCCTTCTAAAGTTACACACAAGTCTACTTAAGAAACCAAAATAACAAACAAATAACTCCATAAGCAATATCAAAGGTGTGGGTTTAAAAAAAAAACCTAAAAAAAAAACTTATATATTCCTTCTGAAACTAAAGCTGAAAATGGGAACATGTCTCAAATAACTTAGAAGGAGATGAAGGTAACATGATTTGGCACACTATGTTTGATGACTCAAAAAGCGATTCAAATATGTTAAAGAAGCATATTGAAATTTGAAACAAAAATCAATGAATTTTATGAAGTGTAAGAGGGAAAAGTGAATAAACAAGTGAATAACTGAATAAAATATACCAAAATATGTAATGTTAGAGCTGAGAAGACTTTTAAAAATATAAAAATAGCCATATTTTTTTTCCTGAAATAAATAGAAGCTTTCAGGAAAATATATCATTTAAGTTCAATGTTTAACTGTTGAAAAGAAAAAATGAGGCAATTACTAGGTTGATAGGTTTTTATCAGTTTGTAAAGATTAATGAATTTTCTTTTTATCTATTTTTATTGATTTTAGAGAAAAACAGAGAGTGAGAGAGATAGAAATATCAATGATGATAGAGCATCATCAATTGGCTGCCTCTTGCACGCCCTGAACAAGGGATCAAGCCCACAACCTGGGCATGTGCCCTTAACCGGAATCAAACCCAAGACCCTTAGTTAAGTCCACAGGCCAAAACTCTATCCACTGAGAAAAACCAGCTAGGACAATATTAATGAATTTTCTATTTTACAGGACCAATTCTGGAAAATTTGAAAGCAAATTTGCATCAGTAATGCTTTTCAAATATTAATACTAGAAGTATAAAAGTACAAGTCAATGTTCATAGGTAGACTACAATTTAAATCTTAGCATTTGAAATGGAGGGGGGGCGGTATTTTCCTCTTTGTGTGTGTGTGTGTTTTTTTAGGCTTACATTTTTTTTTATTTATTTGTCTTACCAGTATTAGAAACATGACTTCCAAGTCTTTCAAAGATATTGATACAATAAATAAACTATTGGAAACAAGTTTTTAAAATTATAAACTCAAAAGTCAAAGACATAGAAGAAATATCACCAAACTAGTTTGGCCTGGCGGGCATGGCTCAGGGTTTGAGCACTGACCTATGAATTAGGAAGCTGCAGTTTGATTCCCAGTCAGGGCACATGCCAGGGTTGTGGGCTGGTTCTTCAGTTTGGGGCATACAGGAGGCAGCCAATCAATGATTCTTTCTCACCATTGATGTTTTTATCTCTTTCTCCCTCTCCCTTCCTCTCTAAAATCAATAAAAGTACATATATTTTTAAAAACTAGTTTGCTTAATGTCAACAATATTGATATCTAACTTTTCTTTGAGTTTAACAAAAATAAATAAAACACTTCACCCAACTTCAAAAGAAAAAAAAATGACATTTTTTTTCCCTAAGAAAGTAACAAATATAGGAAAAGAATATAGTAAATATAAATAAAGTCCTGGGACATAAAAGTCTCTAAATTCATGTTGAATCATATTTCACCAATATGCTGGAAGAAACATTATACTCTTTTGAGAATTATAAGATTTCTTTAACACCATTAGATTGCATGTCAATATTTTGAGATAGCAAATAACTCAAGGATGAAGCTATTCTATATTCCCTAAAATTCAAACTTATCCAGCTACAAAAATGATATGTAAAAAGAACAATCATATTAAGTATATTAGGATAACATCATTTATGTGCAAGAGGCAAATTTTTGGTCATTTCAAATCTTTGGACCAATCTCTAAAAGTTGAAAGTAAGTGAAGGAGGCAATAATGAAATCACACACCCTGTCTTAAAGCCACTCACTGAGCTCTACAGAGTGCTGCACTGGCCAAGACCCACTTTCAATCCAGTTTACTCTTCTGTATTTTCTCCTTCTTCTATTGAACATGACTGTATGAGGTCTTTTTCAATATAATGCTTAATAAGCTTAAAAGAATTTCTGGTTTCTGGGTTCACAAGATATATAATACATAGAACAAAAGTTAAAAAGTAAATGAAAAGAAAAAAACATGTCTGATAACAGCACAATCACTGAAATAAATGAAGCGATCCTAATTAAAAAATAAGTGCCCATAAATATTAGATGTGTTTAATTATCTTCAGTGTCCCAAAGGCCAGAAAGAGGCCTATCAAAAATAACTTAATATTTTGATTTTGAGTTTTGGCATATGATCACCAGTTATTCACAAACTCCACATACTGCAAAGCCACTTGATGGTGTTAAATAGGTGAGGTGTTGCTATCCATGTAATATGATGACATCACCTTATTTCATCATCTTTTTTGGTAATAAACTTTTGACTGTCTTCACCTTCAAAGTTTAAATGTTCACTGGCAATTTTGAGCCAGATCTTTCCTTTTAATATGAAAATAATCTAGAATACTTTTCACTCATCAGGTAACTGCATTTATTAATATGTGATAATCAACACAAACTTATCAAATATTAAATAATGATTATTAAAAGTGATTACTTTTTAAAATCTCCAAAACATAATTTATTATGAAATTTATTTCCAAAGATTCTTAGATCTTTCTTCTAGTACACCTGAGTCTTACAAATATTAAATATAAAAGTTAAGATTTTAGTTCCATCTGGCTTCTGCACTACATAAAAACAACAACAACAAATATTTGAATCAGGAAATCTTATCTAGTTAACTAAAAACCATTAAAACTTAAAAAAAAAACTACTTATTTCATTCTATATCTCAAATCCATTTTTTATTGTTTTTAATTTTTATTTATGACAGTATTACAGATCTCCCTTTCCACCCCTCCACCCCCCATTGACCTCTCCTCGCCCTCCTCCACTCCCCACCCCAGGCCTTCATCACCCTATTTTCTGTGTAATCAGAATTTCAGGCAGTAGGATTCTGTTTGAGAAATATGACTAAATATAAACAAATAAAAATAATGACAGCTGCTTTGCAATTGGGTCATTTTCAGCTATTAATTTCATTTTCTATGTCTTGATTTTTCATCAGCAAATTAGCATAAAAATTCAATTCTCTATGGGGCTTTAAATAATTTACTGTTAAGTTTATAATGTGGTACCTTACTGCAAAAAATCAGAAATATAAAATGAATAAATAGCTTCAAATTCAGTTCAACAGATGTTTGATAAAAGTCCACAAAGGTGAATAAACTGTTCACATGCTGCCACAAAAATAAATATAAATTAAAATGTTCATTGTTTTTAAGGAGCATTCAACCAAATATGGAATGTGAAAAAATATATATATCCCATGATAATATTACAGAACAGAGAAAGACAAATGTTATAAAAGAATAGACACACACACATACACACACACACACACATGTAGATATGGGAATTCAGAAAAAAAAAATCCTAGTCCTTTTCTATGGCAATTATATAATATATATATATTTATATATATAAATATATCCTAAATAAGTTTATATGATGGTGATAATGATTGCAAATATTATATATTATATAATAATATCATAATTGTTATTATTTTAATTTGTTCAGGATCTGGATGAAACATGTGAAGTGAAAAATGTGTGCAAGTGAATAAAAGAGTTGATTAACATAAATAGTTATTTTTGGTGGAAATTAAATAGTTATTTTGCATGCAACATAACAGTTAAGTTGTTTATGGTATGAAGTTTATGTGGTCAAGGCTAGTCTCTTATACATCATCAAATTTTTAATAATAAACACCTTTCAAATGTCTCTAATGGAAATGAATTCACATTATAGATTGAGGGAAAGTAGGAGATGTTTCTATTTGACATTGTTACGGTCTTTTGTCTGAATGCATTTCAATCTATTTTGGAACACTAATGGAATGAGAAGTAAGCTTAGAACCAGGAGATAAGGGTTTGCATAGCCACTGACACCTACCAGCTGCCTGACCTTGGGAAAGTCACTCTCTCTGAGCTTCAATCCCTCAGTAGGAAAACAGGGATGATATGTGGTTGTTTGATATTAGTGGAGGATTAATGAGAATAAACTTCTAGCAGTGGGCTCCAATAAGGCTCTTTCATTTTTTTATAAATAAAGAAATGATAACTATAAAGCAGTTTGGAAATAAATTTACCTCAGTGTGCGCAAACATAAGCAAATGGGTGAAAATGTCTACATAAATATATTATATATATATATATATAACTTATATATGCTATGGCGTTTGATGGTTTTCACTGTTTTTTAGTTTAAATAAGCACACTCTTACCTGTTGGTGGAATTATCCCAGGAGACATGAGGCCGGGGACAGAATGTGGCATGATATGCGAGTTCTCTGGGGAAGTGACACTCTGAGTCCTCTTAGGAGGCCTTCCAGGTCTAGAACTGAAACAAACAAACAAAAAATTTTTACAATTAAGCTGTTGTCTTACACATCATTTCAAAGTTGTTTCAAGTGGTAACATGGACTGTAAATAAATTTGTTTCAAGGACGGTTGCTTTTGCAGTTAGATGTAATAGACTTCCATCACTAATTAGATTACATGCTGAATTCATTTTCCTCATTGAAGATCAGCCACTCTTGATGCATAATTCATAGCCTGCACCTCGTTACCTGCTTCTTCATATTAATATCTATACACAGTTTGAATTGCCTCGTTTGCATATGCTAAAGTTCTGCATGCAGCCTTCAGCACGAAAATTATGCACTAACTTGTAATAATTATTACAGTCAGCCTGCTATTGATTTATGAGACTTTTAAAAACCAAATATGTGTAGTACTTGTAATGAATGATATTTTAAGGTTCTTCAGGAAATTAAAAGGCAATGGCTGCCTAAGGAAATGTTCTGCTTGTTTGATTTAATACTACAGTTAGCTGGGAGGTGGAATGAAAGAGTGATTCAGACCTATAGCACATTTTTCGATGATATGTTTTATTACTTTGCACTGCTAGCCTGATATCTAGATGATAAATGACAATACATATCTAATGTGTGAAAAGGTCTTGCAATTTCTTTATTTTTTGTCATAAAAAAGATAAGTCAAGTTATCATTTAACCCTTATTCTATTTAAATGAACAGCCCCACTGGGTTGCCTTACTTTTAATATACTAAAATACATTGGAAAGGCTTAGGATTATTTGTAGGACATCATTGAGAAACTGCCAGTATAGCATCTTATATCTGCCTTGAGGATAAATAAAAATACTTTGTGTTTGCGGTTTAGTAGTGCTTGTTTTTACATGATTATTGTACAAGATTAATTTCTAAAATTATAAATGCCAATTGTATAATATTAACTTAATACAATAAAAGCAGTAGGCGAGGAGGACACAATTATTCACTATCCTTGTTTGAGAATAACATGAATGTATGTTAGCAATTTTTGAAACAAACATACTTAATCATTACGTTTCCACTTTCACCCTCTGTATCTTGAAGGTGTTTTTATGAAATGCTTTTCTGTCATTTATCTGGTCAATATCTGCTTAGACATATTAAAACTTCCACATACGAACTTCATACATTAGCATTTCCATGTTAGCCTCAGCTGAGGTTCTTTCCTTCATCAGAAGACTGGGAGATCCTGCCTCTGTTATTTAATATAAGTACCATGTGTGGTGATTCAATGAATAATTAGTAAGCACTTGTTTTCAAAGTAGTACATTGTGGAGGCTGATTTGGGAGAATGGGTTCTTTAGGAGCTTATTCCTTGGGGGAGGGAGAGGAGGGGGAACAACCTGGGCACACTAAATGTGTTGCAAGCTGGAATGTGCTACGTGTCATAAGACAGTTGCAATCTGATCACTAATGGAAAGTTAGGCTGGGTGATAAGACTTCCATTTGGAGGGAAGAGAGAAAAGGTTTCATGTCAGTGGGACCTTTAGGAGAGAATTCTGAAGGATGAATTAGGGAGAGAAAGAATGGAAGAAAAGATTGAGAGTGAGATGGAAGCATGGAATGTACAGACAAACAGGATTGTTACCACTGGGCTGAAGCAGGTCAAATAAGGTGAGGAACAGAGATTGATGTGACTGCAGTTACTGCCTGAGGCCAGACCCTGGGGAGCAAAGAGATCATGTGCTTGTTTTGCTAATCTATAAGGGCACTCTCCAGTTTATTGTTCTGAAGTCTCTCTTTGGCTGCTTATTTTTATTATTCATTATTACTTTTTTATCCTCAGCTGGTCCTTTAACTCTGGTTACTTGCCTCAGGCCAATCAACAACCTTCTAATGGTCTCCATTCAACCTGACTGATCTTTCTACCAGCACCAGTGAGATACTAAGGAATTATGGCTAAATATATTCCTGGAGCCTAGATCTTGCTCTTGGGATTCAGACAGGTTAATGCCTGTCATCTCTGTTTGGGTGTTTTAGAATAATGTAAGATTCCACTTGTCCAAATCTAAACTCAGCATCTTCCCCATTAAAACCTAATCCTCTTTCCCTGATTCAGTAAAATGGCACCTACTTGATTATGTCAAAAATCCAGGACTCAGATGTCCTTTCTTTCCTTTGTACACTCAAAAACATCCCATTGAAGACACCTCTGTAATCCATTCTTTGTTCTCTATTCCCATCCCATCTTCCAGGTCAATTGTTTATTTCTTATTTGAGCTATGACTATAGCCTTCTGAACTTTTCTAAGATCTACTCCAAACTTTGTCCCATTTGAAGCCTAGAGTCCAGAGTCAAGACAACTCTCTATATTACTCTCAGAAGGATTTTTCCAAAATTCAATCATATTTTCCATTTGCTTAAAAATAACAATAGTTTCCCTATACAATTCACATTCCTTATCATGGCACCAAGATCTTCCAAAACTTGATCCTTGCCTGCCTTTTTCATCTCATCCTTTTATTTGACCCTATTGAATTTCTAGCAATGTCATAAGTTGCTTTGTCTCCTATGACACTACCTTTATGGATGCTACCATCTTTATCAGGAAAAACCTTTTCTGAACCAACCCACTCCCATCCCTTAATGATTCTTCTTACTAACCGTGTCTAGTTAGTATCCTTTCTATGCACTATGATAGCCCATGGGATCTGCTTATTTGCTTCACTGCCAAGACTGTGAAACATGGAGTATATTAAATATATCTTTGGATCCTTAAAATTTAGCTCAGGGCTAAATTTTCTTTTTTATTTTTAAATTTCTATTTTTTATTTCATTTTTTAATTTCATTGTATCTATAATATTTAAATAAACTTTAACACACAAGTTAGGAGGGCTTTTTTCCAATTCCTGAAGTATCCTACTTCATCCATTCTAGTGGTCTCAAAGTTTCCAGGAAATGAAGACTAAGACATCACAGTAAACTTTGGAATTCGGTGTCTAAGGATAATATACACCAGAAGGTCAGGAAAAGAGAATAGATGCATTGGGAGATCTCAAGTAAATGCCATGGGGAAAGTAGGAAAGGAAATGAAAGTTAAGATTTAAACATTTTAGCCCTTTAATTTGCTTTTGCCTTTTAAAAAAATGAAATGGTTTGGAAGCACTTTATCATTCAGGCCTCAGGAGCTGTCCTCGGGGCCCTTGCTCTGCAAGTAGAAGTCAGGCTGCTAAATAGGAACACTTTGTTTCAAGTGGTGGTTAGAACAGACCAAGTGGGCTTTTCCACCCCAGATATCTCCAGCCCAACCTATGACATTGTCCCCAATTCACCAATAGAGATTTACTGTTTTCAGGGTTATGTTGTATGTGTGTTTTAAGTTTTTATTACTTTACTAGAGGCCCAGTGCATGAAATTCATGCACCAGGGTAGGGGTCCCCTGAGCTAGGCCTGCACCCTCTCCAATCTGGGACCCCTCAGGGGATGTCCAACTGCCAGTCTAGGCCCAATCCTGGATCAGGCCTAAACTGGAAGTCGGATATCCTTCTCACAATCTGGAACTGCTGGCCCCTAATTGCTCACCTGTCTGCCTGCCTGATCACCCCTAACCACTCTGCTCCCTGCCTGATTACCTCTAACCACTCTGCCTGCCTGCCTGATCACCCCTAACAGCCTCTGTGGTATTGTTCAGAAGAGGTCAGGTCTATCTGGCCTAATTAGCATATTATCCTTTTATTAGTATAGATGTTTTAAAGCTTTAGGATCTTTCAAAGCCTTCCTTTAAAATGAAAAAACCTTTGATGGGGGTGACACCCAAAAGCCACCAGCTAACACCCAAATGAGGATTAGTTTAAAATTAAGAGAGAGCAAGGTTTTGGGATATATATGCAAACAATGGCCAGGAATGGTGGGAAAGATTTGTAGGAAATCAAATCCCTTACCCTTTTGGCTAAGAATAGGACTATTTGAAACCTTTCCTGGAAGTTATATCCAACTTCTTGATAGATGGGAAGTTGGATTTCTTTTTTATTTTTTCTTTCTTTCCCCCCCCCCTATTAACAAGACTTCTCTCTTTATGACCTAGATAGTTTAGGTCTCCTTGGTATTTTATCCTTACCACTGTCTTTGTCACAAACGGCTAGAGGGTTTGATTTCAGGGGAGATGCCCTAATTGTTAAATATTTACAAAAATATTTAAATTACTTTCAACAGAGCTTTAGGGGACTTCCAAGAGAACACATGCAGTGCTGTAGCCAAAAGCACAGGTTGCATTGTCTTGACACATCAGGCTTTAAATACTGGCTCTACCAATTTACTACAAGGTGTGGCCTAAATCAAGCAACCTGACTTCTCAGAACATCTGATAAAATCAAAGTATTTTTATAAGATGTGGGCCTGTTTGCTTTGTTAGAAATAAGTTATTCTTGGGCAGAAAAAAAACAAACAAAAACACAACAACTGAAAAGTGGAATTGAAACAGCAAAAACATTTTCTTGTGAAATGATCAATTGTTCCTATAGTATCTACCTTCAAACCTCCTTTAACAACAGCAAGGAGCTCTGCTCTAAAGAGTCAGAACAGCTGAACTCTCCTCCTTCTAATCAAAGCAGAAGACCTCACTTAAATAAATTATTACCCTTAACAGCTTGAATGAAATCAAATTTATGACTTTGGTAATTGTTTTTGCCAGCTTCACACATGAGCCATACTGCAGCCCTTAAGTATTATCAACCATCTGCATTGAAAGAGGAGAACAATGGCTTAGAGATGTCCAAATCAGCACATAATATCTCATTTACTTAGGAATCCACCCAGGTACCCCCTTCCTTGCACTTTTGAATATAAAGGTTTCTTTTCAAGATAGATCACTGGGTAGACTTCTCTCCTTACTTTGCATCATTAAATATGTCTCATGTTAATTTCTGTCTCTCTCCCACAATTATATGTTTTCCAACTCTTCCTAGACCATTTACTGTGCTTATTGAGGGTGAAGTCAAAACAAGCTTAGCAAAAGGAAACAGGAGTGATATGCATTAATCAGAAGC